GCTGGCCTTGGCTCAAAACAAGGGCTGCTGGATTCCCTGCCAGTGCAAATGCTGGATGTTTCATCACATATCCTCCATCCGATACACCATGGCCAAAGGCACCAGCTGCAGATTCTCTCTGTGCCCCACTTCTGGGGGTGGGATGGGGAAAGCAGAGTTTCAGAATAGCATCATCTCTCCCCATCCAATTGCCCTGTTTTGTTGCACTTCTTTTTCCTACACTGCCAGAATCAACACTGTCTTCTTTTTGAGCAGTAGAAGAAGGGTCAGGGCCAGCAAATCAATGTACAAAGCACCCAGTTTAATTTGCTCTTTAAGTTCACTGTGAATCAGATGCAGGTTACAACAAAATCAAATGAGGCTTGAGTGAGGCACAGGCAGATGTAAAATCTGAAGAGGCTCCTTAGCCTTGCAAAATCCTGGAAGGCAATTTAAACACAAGAGATAGGCAAGGAGCCCATTCTTGGGGTCTGCAATAATCACCCGCAGTTCAAACAGGGACAGAGATGAGTTCACAGCTTTCTCAGAGCCCAAGCTGGATCAAACAGGAAGTGAAAAAAATCTCAGACTGTCAAGGAACAGCCTCAAAAACGCAATGCCATCTCAGCAACAACAGCTCAGCTCTGCACTCTTTTAACCTCACAGGAATTTGGGCAGAAAGTCTACAGGAAAAATTCCTGCGTCAGCTGGTGAGAACAGGCACAGTTATTTGTACATTTATGATCCTGCTCTTTCTCCTGGTCTTGCTTATGCCCATGGTAATACTCCATCCTCTTCAGTGCAGCTATATGCTGACCAGTAGTTGGGACAGAAGAAAGTCCCAGTTAGTATGAGGTTCGATCTCTGGCACCAACTGCTAGCAGGTTCCCCAAGGAAGAACATAAGGATGGTCCATGCCTCTCTCTGACCATGCAGTTACCAAATGGACCAGTCACTCACCCTCCTTCAGCTTTGTAACCATCCTAGTAGTGTGTGCAGCCAGCTGTCTAGTGAGGTTTTTCAGGGATTGAAGACAAAGAAAATTAAATAAATTAATGAAAATAGCTACCAGCTCCACTCTGGACTGTCTGAAAAGCCTTCATTGTAAACAAAAGCAGAGGAAGTATTGAAATTAAGAAGCTAGATTTGCCGTAAGGAATTGACTATCACATTGATGAAAAGACATTGACTTATCTGGAGTGTTACTTAAACAAAACCAAAACCAAAACCAAACCCCAAACTAAAAAGAGGTCAGGGTGAACCAAATTGATCTCACTTCTTGCAGGGTGAACTCTGACAGGCTGGCACTGGTGCACTGCAGTTCTCCTGGTCCAGAGCTGGTGGACCAAGCAAAACCCTCTTTCCTGCTGTTGCTGGGCAGCTCCCAAACAGCACTTTCAGTGGACAGCTGGAATTCCCATGCTCTCCTCCAAGGCCCTGCTTGGTGGTTTCTTTCTTTCCAATCTCCTTTCTTCCTGTTCCTATTTCTCATCTTTTGGCTTCTGTCTAATAAACTGCTCATCTTTTGAAGACTGCTTCTTTAGCAAGAAGCCTGGGGAGAGAGCTGAAGGCTGCAATTTGGGTACGAGTTGGGTAAATCCCACAGTGGCTTAGAAATCTGTTTTTATTCAGCAGCAGAGCTGTTAAGAGGAGTTGGCACCAGAGACAGAAGCATTGTCTGGTGTTGCTGTTCTTCTCTCTCCCCTTCAAGTCTTTAGCAACAACTGCAGTTTCCCACCTATTTCAACTAACTTCTTTTCCCCCTAAAGAAAGGAGAGTCATTAGCATTTTTTGCACTGTCAAATAGAGGTTTTCTTACAAAAAATTCTTCACGCTAAGGGGAAAGTGAAGAAAAGATATTGTTAACATGAAAGCCTCACTTAATATTTTACATTTCAAATACTGTAACTGCTTTTTTTTTTTCTCCTCCTTCTCCTTTTTCTGAATTTTCAGTATACAGCTTAAACATCATTAATAGTGTTGGTTGCTATGGTGTTGGACAGGCTGAGGTCTCTGTACTTGAAACCTTGAGCTACACTTAATGTTGTACAACAGCAGGGTCATGCCAACACCTTTGACTTTGACCCCATTATTCCGAGTGAAATATAAAGACCATGTCTCCATTCCATTTCGTTCTTGGGAGAGAGGGTTTTTTTCCCCTGCAATGAGAAAAGGAAGAGTGTGCTAGAGAAAGATACAGGTATAAAAAAAGAAAAGAAAGAAAATAGAAATGTAATAGACCCAGCAGAACCTTTCCAAAATCATTGTTACATCAAAAAAACAGGAAAGTAGATAAAAAAAGACAGTCCCCTGAAAAGTTTCACATGAGATTGTTTCTCATTTTCCCAAGCAGCTAAACATTTTAATAAACTAGGAAAATGAGACTGTAAAACCATAGCATCTGACAGCAAGCCCCAGGGGTAGGAACCGTTCCTGAAACTAATTTTAACTCATGTTTTAACGTTGATCAGATTTCATGTGGTGAATGTCCCATTAAGCTGTCTCTCTGTTCTTAGAGAAAACCTGGTTTCTTTTGTCAACTCTGAGAAGCTATTTTCTTTCCAGTGTATTGTCGTCACAGGCATAACAGGACTTTTCTGTTGTTCATTTCTCTACAGCTCAAGCAATGCCCTGCCTCAGACATCTTCTCATCTGTTCTCAGTTTCCTTATGAGACAAGACATTTTCCACAGAAGAGGCATTTAACCAGTCCAGCAACGAAGCTCACTCTTAAATGGGTCCCCATGCAGACACCCAAGTACTCAACCCATTTAACATCTGATCTTCACCCATGCAAAAGGCACCAGGTCAATTCAGACCAGCTGAGGCCAAGATCCAAAGCAAGCTTCCAGTTTCTCTGCTTTGCTTTTCCCTAGGGAAGTGAAGCTGCTGTACCAGCTTCCTCACATGAATCACATTTTGCTTTGACTGCCACCAGGACATCTACAGATAGGACAGGCTTTTTAACTCAAAGTCTCTATTAACATCAGCTGAAAGTTTCAATGGGTAAAAAAAGGACATTTCCCAGTAGTGTAGATTTTTCTTGAAGACTTGTTTCTTCTCACAAAAGCATATTTTGTCTTCTAGTTGAGTTCAAACCAAACCACTTGCCCTGTGGCACAGGACTTCTTTATGCTGCACCTCTGACAATAGTTGGGTGTCTCTGTCTTGTGCCACACGGTTCCTTGATTAGCACTGCTGTGTGAGCCAAATGCTTTGCACAACTCAAGCAATGGATGAATTTCCAGTCCAAAGGCATGTTGTGCAACGGAAGAAAGCAAGGCTCTCTTACTGGCATTTAACAATCTGGTTAAATGCTGGTAAGAATGACCAGGCTGGAAAACAGCTCTACAGGCTCCTGCTTGCTGCTTCTCCAGAAATTAAAGTGTTCCTTCCTTTCTAGATGCCTCTTTGCAGAGGTGGAAGGTCTTTCTGACGCCTTTCCTTTAAACCTCATGTGTGCTGTGTAGAAGATGCTGGTGCTTGGGGGGGTGGAAGGAGGTGACAGAGTGGCCAGTTTTCAAAACAGTAAAGCCACAGTGACAGTCGCCTTTGGCTCTTCCAGCCCACCAGCAGCAGGCTTAGTCACATCAGCAGCATCAAAGCTGAGCAGCTACTTGGAGAAAGGGCATTTGTCCTTTCATCTGGAGATTACAGGATCTTTCACAGATCCCAGCAGTCTGTTTTGAAATGCTCTTTGAAGAGAAATACCTGTTTGTGGCACCACCTGCCATTTAAAACAGCCTCTTTGCCTTCCAGCTTTCCCTGCAACACTCTCCCCCAGCCATTTAACCATGCATACAAGGACAAAATGATGCCAAAGTTCACTCCCCAGCAAGCAGCACTGCTCAGCTTTCACTCCAGGCTCTATATTGAGACAGGAACTCTCCACAAACATGCCAAAAATCTTGTAACCTATTTGGGTCCACTCCTTCCCCCTGTTGTGCTCAGAAGGGACAGCAGGGAGGCAGAAAACTGCTATTAGCATCTGGAGGAAAGAAAGGCAGACATATAAAGCTCTTTGCCTTGCTGTTTCCGTTCCTTCATGACTTAATTTCTTTTGGTCGGGGCACAGGAAATATTATAAAGCTGTAACCTCTAATCCGCTCCTGAGTACTCCTTCTCCATCTCTTCCTTTCTCCTTCTCTTTCAGCCAGTTCTAATCCTTTATGTCTCCTCTCACAGATAGGACTTGGAGTCTAATCTCAGATGACAGGTTGGTAATTAGAGCAAGAGATTATCCTGACCCCACATCAAGAAGGTAAAAAGAGAGGAATAATGCAGCATCATACAAGATCAAGCCTTCAATGTTCAATGCAGAAACCATCCTCATCTCAGCCAGTCTCCTCCTGGCTCCCTTACCCCACACCTTCTCCTTTGTCCCAGCAGAGTGTGGAAATCCTGAGTCTTCATACCTCCTTCTCATCTCCCCTCTGCTGAGCAAGGACTATGCTTTTCCAGGATTCATTCAGCACAGAAACGATCACATTTTCCTTTTCTGTAGACCTTGACTAAGCAGAGACTCAGCAGGTCTGTGGCTGGGAAGTATGGGCAGGAGGGAAAGCACAGGCAGATATGGAGGAAGAGATGCTGCTCAGAGAGTCTGGAGACATGACATGCTATCAGCCATCCTCAGCTGGGCACTTCTTACACACACCTAGAGCCCTTCTAGTACAGCAAGATGCAGCCACAGCACAGAGCAGCAGCAGCAAGCCCTCATCTCTACCCAGATACCCAACAGTCACTATCCGATCCTTGATCTGCTCCCATGCCTTGCAGGTGTCTCAGCACAGATCAGAAGTTCATCCACGTGTCCAGCCCATTTTATCCATCTTTGGCATAGATCTTGTCTCTTTTCTTATGTCATCAGTATTGAGTGAGAACCAAAAAAGCCATCACAGAGCCCCAAGACTACCATAGGAAAGGCAAAATTGGGACCACCAAGCTTCTTTAGCGTCCCACTCACTACATGGACAAGGTAAATAGGTGTCACCAGGATCCACTGTAGCTGAGGCTCAGGCATCACCAGCCAACAGCCTGCAGGCACCAGGAGGTGTTGGGATAGAGATGGCAGTGGAGTGATCGAAACCTGCAGGGGAGAAAGCAAAGTGACAGTGACAGTTTTAAACCAGCACACAGCTGGAAAATGGAAGACCTCTCTCTGTGTCCCATTCCACATCAGGCACCCAACCTGCATGACAGAACTCAGGACTGGTTGTTCACCTCAAGACGCCTTTTCTCAGCAAAGCTAAGCAGCCAAGCCTCCCTCTGATACCTGAATCCAGCTCGAGCTCAAGGAGCCCAAGCCCGTGGCTCACCCTGATCAGCAGGGAGATGGGCACTGCACCAGACCTTGCTACATGGTTCTGTTGATGCTCTTTTCATCACTAGCTGCTTCCCACCCCTGCTATCTTCAGCCAGGAGCTTCCTACCCATGCTCTGCAAATAACAAGTTTAGGTTTGTTCACGCAAAGAGAAGAAGGTAAATCAAAGAACACTTTTATTTGCAGTCAGCTTGAAGTGAACCCTTTTCTTTTCTCCCTTCAGTTTTCTCAGCAAAGCATAAAATGAAAAAGCAAGCAGAATTTCCTTTCCTGAATTTAAAAGAACATTTCTGTTCCTGTCCCTGAGGTAAAAGGTTAGCTTGTTCAGCCTCAAAAGGTGAAATAAATGGCAATACTTTTGGCTCAGGTATTGTCCAAATAAAATGTTTTGAATACTCCTTTTCTTCCCAAACATCCAAAAAGGTTTGCAAAGTTTGTAAGCATCTACACACAGCTTTACGCTGGTGTTCCCCTCACACCCAATAAGCCATGTGACTGTACCCCTCAGTCCATACCTCCTGCCCCCCATTTGGCTGCCTACCCCTCCCAGCCTATTGTCTGAGGGCTCACACCACAGCAACACCCACAGCACTCACACTCCGTACCTTGAGGGATCCTCTTGGGGCGAGAAGGGGCCGCTGAGCTCAATAACATTGAGTTTGTTCTCAAAGACACCGTAGCTGAGGGTGACCTACAAAGTGGTGGTGAGAAAGAATCAGGGAGGATGAGGTCAGTTCAGGAGCAAGGAACTTGCTTTGCATGACAGAACCTCCCTTTCTGGTTCTTTCTCTGGTGGTTTGGTCTCTGCCTTCTCCATCTCTCCTCACTTCCCACCCATGATGGTCCACTCTGCCAGTCCTTAGTCTCTCTGAGCCTCTTACACCCCCTTGTTATCTCCCCACACAAAGCAGATGTGGTGCCATGTCAAAGTCCCTTTACCAATCAATGATCATTTCTGCTTGTCCTTGTGCCACATTCTTCCTAGAGATGCTCTTAATGCTCCCATCACTCCCCATACACATGCTCCTCACCACTGATCCTAGAGCACTGTGACTGGCAACCGTGCAGCAGGCAGCATCTGCTTCTTATTTCAAAGAAGCATTTGCCAGGAAAGCCTCCCCAAAAGAGCAGATGATTGATTCAATACACATCAGTGCCATCAATGGAGCGATGTGCCTGTAAGTTCCCCTCCACTTCTTCTTCCTCACACACTCCCTCTTGCTCCATTTCCCCTCCTCACCTGCTGAGTGAGCCGAGAGGTGGGGATGAGCTGTAGGTTCTCCAGGTGGGAGTGGAAGAGTGCACTGGGCAGCAGCTGCCCCCCAACTTTGCACTCAATGATGTAACCCACAGTGCAGTCATCCGGCAGGCGGATGAGCTCTGAAGTGCTCAGGAAGTTCCTGCCACTGGAAGAGAGAAAGGCTGCATGGGTCAGGAAAAGGGTAAGGGCAGATATAGGCATCCACTTGCATGATACTGGAAACCAGAGTAAATCCTGGAACTAGGCAAGAAATCCCCAAGTTCCACATGCAAAGATTTGGGACTGTGTTTGTTCTTTGACCACTCCCAGCCATGCTGTCCCATGAATTGTTAGGTGCTGTCCCTCATATATATCCAGCTCCTCAGTGAGCGGATGCAGAGAGCTGAGAGACTTTGCTGAGTCACTTTTCCACCTGTTTGGTGAGCTGCACTGAGCCCTGAGGGGTCAGACAAACCACCAAAGAGAAACAGTGGGGACAAACAGAGAAACATGGCCAGGAGGAAGAAGAAACAGGACAGTTTTGCAGCTTGAATAAGCCATCTATGGCTCCACTGTAATGCAACACCACATGCTTGACCACCCTTTGATGACAGGCTAAACCCAGTTTTAAGGCTTCTGTAAGCGGAAGCAGTTAGGTAGCATGAAGCTCCGTCTACTATAACCCTCAGCTAGTTCAAACGTGGTTTAAGCTTTTTAAAACAGTAGTGACAGACTTTATGCTAGGTTAGGCATTATCTATCCATGCCACTTTCATTTTACCCTAGGTCACAGATCATCCTCCTATCTGAGTCTACCACAAAACACTTAGCATGGCCACCAGCCACCTGGTGTGGATCAGATCTGTCTTTCTGGGTATGCTCAGATCTGGTTAAGGCTGGCACAGCCAATGCCTACCAGTGTATGTGCATACAGTCCATGATATAACCTAGGGCATCATGGAATACATCATCTTGTTGTAGGCTGAGTAAATGACAGTGGGCAGATGATGGGATGGGAAGGAGGGTGAGGAGCAACCAAGAGCTTAAAGGAGATGGGGAGAGAGGAGTGTGTTATCCTATGATCAATGTCTGCTGATGTGCCTGCTCTTGCTTGTTTTCAACCAGCTGGCAGACCCTCCCACTACATCCTTCCTCCAGTCCTACATGCTTGCAGATGCATAGCATGTGGAACTCTGCATCTTTGCAAACACCACGTGCACAAATCCAGATCTGAGACTGCCAGGAATTAATGGGCAGTCATGTTGATCATCCCCAAAGGCTCTCATGCTCACCAGCTGCAGCAGCTCACCTGGCCCATGGCACCATCTTGCTTGCCAGCTTGCGGCTGATGCAGAACCCAGCCCCTCCTGTGGCAAACCAGAAGCGCACAGATTTCTGGAGAGAAACAGCAAAGAAAATCAATGGCAGAGGCTCAGATGATACCATACTCCCAGAGATGGGAATGCTGGAAAGCCAGCTTTGATGCCAGGACAAACACAGCCCTATTGTCACCCCAGACCCCTGACTGCTGCCCAGAAGAAGCACTTGTCAACAGTACAGCATAGATTTTGAGCTCCTCATTCTTGGAATGGCCAAGCACGTGGGCTGCCTGAGACAGGCTTATCTCCTGGCAATTACATACCCAAAGGCAGCTCCCTACGTTGATCAGATTGAGTCAATACCTACAACCATGTTCAGACTGAGATTCAGATTAGATGTTAGGAAACTTTTTTTCACTGTCAGGGTGTTCAGCCACTGGAATAGATTGCCCAGGGAGGTGGTGGAGTCACCATCCCTGGAAGTGTTTAAGAGGCATCTGGACCTGGCACTGGAGGATATGGTTTAGGGTTTAGAGGTTACAGCAATGACAGGTTAATGGTTGGGCTCGATGATCTTAGAGGTCTCCTCCAACCTTGATGATTCCATGATTATATGATTCTATGACTGGCGTGTTTTCAGCTGTTGCCCGTAGCTCTTGGGATCTAACTGTCCTTGCAGTATTTCTACAGTTAATGAGCCAGAGTATCAAAACAACCCATTGGCCCCCACACCACCAACACAGGCTGTACCGTCTGGTTGTTTGGAAGTATTTCAGAGGCCCAGATGGGTCGGTTCAGACTCGGTTTCCCCACGTATACATCCCACGTCTCAGAGTAGGAGGACAAGAGCTTCAGGAGGGCCCGAGGGTTCAGGTAGTTGTCATCATCCAAATGGCAAAACCAGCTGGATGAGGTGGGAAGGAAGACACAAGAGATTTCTGGTAAGAAAGGTGCCCCTTGCTCTCAGGGTCCCCCCCACAACAGCCCTGCCTCACCTCTGGCCACTGACCATGAAGGCGTCAAACTCAGCAGCCATCTTGCAGGAGAGGGCCAGGTGGCTGTGCTCAGCAGAGCAGTTGGTGAAGATCACATGGGCACCTGCCAGAAGAGGGAAAGTTGTGGCTCAGGGTCAGCCTACTTTGCGCGATCATAAGGAGGAGTCTCTGGGCAGGAAGGAAGGGGTTTGCTCACAGCCATCCTCCTCATAGCTGCCCAACAGGCATTCAAGCCCATGGTGATATGGGCTCCATCCTTCCCCCTACCAGGAGATGAAACCTGGACAAGCATCTTGACCAAGACTGGGACTCCTGCCATCCACCCACTTCTATCCCACACACTGACAGCCATGATGCAGGGGCTGAGGGGCTCTGTCATGGGCTGCTTCCACTCATGGATGCTTTCAGGCAGACAGCACCCTGCCTCCAGTTGGCTGCATGCCTTGGGCTAAGCCAACTACACCAATGGGCAGTGCTGGTGTAGGAGAGCCAGCCTTCATGTCAGAACCCCTTTCAAGGCCATGGCAGTTCAGAGGCTGAAGGTGGGTGGAAAGGTGGTGTTACAGGACAGGTCATTACCCATTCTCTTTTTCAAGGCATCATCTTCTTCATCAGTGAAGACATAGGTCTGGAGAAATGAGGAAAATAGGTTATACTCAGGAATGGAGTTGGTGCTTGTCCTGGCTGCCCACTCCTTTCTCCCACAGCTGGACACACTCAACATGGTTATTCCACTCCATCCTCTGGTGTCATGCCTCCCTCCCAGGCAGCAGTTGAACAGAAAGATGGCTATGCTCCACCTTTCTACATGGCACAATTATCAGCACTTGTGTGGCTTCATTTCCACCCCCGTCCCACTGCCTTGGGAACAGGGGATCCGTGACACTGAGTGAGGGGGTGAGGGAGCCCTGGCTTAGGTGTCAGTGGTAGAAAAATGAAAGCATTGTGGTGAAATGCTGCTCGGGTTAAAAGGAGAACATCTGTTTGTGTGTTAAGTGTGCACAGCCCCCTGGCACTTCCCGCCCCCTCCTCCTCCTCCTTTTTCTCCACCTCCAGGCCTCTCTAATCCCCCTCGCTGCCATTATGTGGCACATCTCCCCCTCTTCAGGGCCAGGCGAGGATCAGGGCTGGTGGAGAAAAGCTTTCCTCAGGCAGAAAATGAGCTGTCATGAAATCAAAAAGGAGTCGCGAGCCGTAAACAGTCTCCCCACCAGCTGCCCACAGGCTGGTTAAACACAGCACCTGGGCAGGGACAAAGGGAACAAGGCAGGCAGACAGCAGCTCCAGGAGCCATCATTGCTCCCAAAAGCTCTGGCAAGGAGACAAGAGTCTCTGCGACTCCCCACACCCACTCAGGATTTGCTAGATATGTCCCCATCAAGAGGACGTAGCAAGAGAATGTTCTGTACACAAAAAGAAGGCAATGATGGATCCTCAGAGATCATTTGGCTCGAGCAAAGACAGCAGGATGGTTTCATAATCTCAGAGGTACATTCTACAGCAGCTTGGTGAATTACCTTTCCACAGCTGAGCTGCAGTAGTGGACCATGCACACATTCCTACCCCACCCCACCAGTAAAGTCTCTTAGTTAAAACCACTTTCAAAATGATCATGGATCAAGAAGCAATTAGCTAAATCTCACATAAAGGAGTCGCTCTGGGTCAGGGGACCACATCACAACCTTCAGGCAAGGCATGGATTGTCAGTGGCATGGGATTTCCCTCACCAGCCTGTCAGAGTTAGAAATTTCCACGATGACAAATATTTCATCTTGAGAAAAAGAAATCTGAAACTGTTGAAAATTTCTGACATTTTCAGAACAAAAGCACGACATATTGTTGCTGGAAATGACTTGCTTACAGATACAAAACCAACTAGAAATCACGTGTCTAACAAACATCACATCTGATTAACATAAAATAGCAATCTGCATCTTTTCCCAAATTTTCTGCTTCTGAAAATATTCTGAAGTTCCCACTTTTTTTTCTTGATGCAAGGTGGGAAATGTTTTTTTCACAGACACCCAACAAGTTTCTGTGGGAACTCAAGGATGAAGGTACACTGTCACCGAGGTCAACACCAGACTGTCCAAAATAACTGGGAAAAGGGAGCTATGAGTGTGGGGACTGAACTGATTTTTCTGGCTCTTCTATACTGATCTCCATGGCACACCTGGCTACAGTACTCTAGAAATGCTAAAGAACATCAAAGTAGCACAGGCAGCTGCCTGCATCCTCATCCATCCATCCCTGACACCCCTGAGACTGGGCAGCCTGGAAAAGCAGCATCTGAGTGACCACCACCACCTGTCCCTCAGCAAACACACATGGATGGCTGGGATGGGAGACTAAAGGGCCCTGGCTGAAAACGGGCCTGGAGAGCATTTGATCCAGTTACACATCATTCACAAGGAGACAGGCACCACTGCTGTTGTCCATACTAGTGGAGTTTGGAAGAGATTTAGAAGGTCTCTCTGGCCACACCAGACCTATTCCCCTTGCTGGGGAGGTGTGAGGAGAGGAACACCTGGTGTCACTTGTGTCCTTGTAAGCAAATGGGGTGAATAGGAGCAGTATCCCTCTCGTATCCACCCTCCTGTTCTCCACCAGACCATGGGGCCATGGAGGATCTCCCATTGTGCTTTCTCAGTGCATTGAGACTGAGCCAGGATGGCTGTCAATGCTATAGTGGGGCAGCCAATCTGGACCCCAGGAGAGATGAAGCACAGAAAGTATCTCTCCATTCTGGAGTGGAGATGTCCAGGTGGGAATGGATGTCTGCTGGACAGCAGTACAAGCAATGATATGGAGCCACTGTGTCAAATAGCTTTGCGTGGCAGATCTCTGTGAACATAAGAGCCCATGCAGTGGATAAACACTAGACTTTGAGGCCTCCTCACCCCAAAACAGGAAAGTAGCCTAGCAAGGGAAAACTAGAAAAAGTGAATAAAGGTGTGGAACCTCACAATCCAGGGCCATGTTCATCTCTCAAGCACCCAGGGTACCCCTTCTCCGTGAAGAAACTTCCACCAAAATGCAAACACCTCAGCAGGGTCATTGTGGCCTGCCCAAAGAATAGATTAAAAATCTACTGTGTTTGCAACACTGAAAGTGTGAATGAAAGCCAGTTCAGGATGGGTTGTTCAAGGGTTTCATTTCAATTGGTTAGACATCTAGGCTTCTGAAAGGACAGAGGGTGCTAGAATCAGTTTGTTACCAAACAAAATGCCGTTTCACACCAGAAAGCTAGACTTATCTCCATCAGAATTACTGAGGCCAAGAATGTAAGTCACTCCAAGATTTTGTCCAGCCTAAACAACCATCAAAACCAACGCTTCCCTTTAGATGAAACTTTTGCTGAGGAAAAGCCTTACGCTGAAAAAACTTTCACATCAATCTCCAGTGGCAAGTTTGTTGTGGATCAGTTCTCAAGAGAAAAATGGTCCCGCAAAGAGTGACCACCTCACACTTCCCCATCTCTCACCAACTGCCTATCTTCTGTTTAAACAATGCAGTTTCAAGGAAAACGTCTCTCTTATTGTCTACCCCAACAGAGTCCAACATAGAGAACTTTTAATTTGGCTCCCATACAGTCTATCCTAGCCATAAAAATCACAGCTCTTCCTGCCTCCTGTTGCAGTCACCAAAGCCTGATCCATGAGGTCTGGGTTGTTTCCTCCGGGAGAACACCATGCAGGCAATCAGCTCTGAAGTCAGGCTTGGCATCAACGGCATGGCCAGCTGCTAAAGATTCCCTGCTGGCCAGTGGTGGAGAAGGACTCACTGCATTGGTCTCCAGTCTTGAGTAAGGGTAAGTGAGAGAGCAAGATGCTGGGTGAGCCCTAGGACAAGGCAGCCCCTGCACACCAGGACTTCTGAGACCTGGATCTCTATAAGACTGGCTCCTAAAGCCTACACCTCTCCACAAGGACTCAATAATAGGGGGTCTGGTGCACTAACCTGGTTCCCACAACAATTAAATGTCCTTTGCAAATTGAGCTCTCCTTTTTTTCCCCTTTTTTTTGCTAAGAGAGGTTTTCTATCTTGTCATATTTTCAAAACTAACCCTTTCCCCTAAACATCAAAACAAAACCCTCAAGCAGGAATATATTTTTTTAAAATATGGTTTTGACTTTCATGTACTAGTCTTTACCTCCCTCCCTGCCCCCACTTCCCTTCCCTCAAAGCTATTAGGTGCTAAAAAAGCAGAAGGAAAACATGGAAAATTGGTGGGTGGGTGGGGAAACGCTGAGCTTGCAACAAAAATTGATAACGATGAAAAAACACTGCTTAAAAATGAGTGATGTTTCCACTCTACCCTTCCTTCCTATTTTCCTGCTCAGTCTGTGAAGCTTTCCCACAGGTTGGCAGCAGTATGGAAAATTCAGCACCTGTTCCCAGATTTGGACATCGCTTGCATGGCAAAAAGAGAGGGGCAGATGAATCTAGGGAGCTGAAATCTAGCTCCTGTCACCAAGGTATGGCCTTGGTATGTTTGTCAAAGACATGAGGAAGGAAAGGTGAAATGCACCTTAAAAACCCAGACACAATATCTCAGTGCCAGTGCAGCCACGTGGTTGGGTTCAGTTTCTCCAAAGGGCTGCTGGGCTGAGGTCAGATGGAGAGGAGAAGTGCATCTGGAGGAGGAAGCAGGGCATCTCAGATGCTGAGAGGGACACATAGACAGGAGAGGAAGAATGCTTAAAATAGGACATGGCTTCCTGTGACGACCGCAGCAGACCAGACAGTTGCAGCACCATGAAGTGGAAAACCACCCTTACCCAGAAAACCCTGCATTGCTTCAAGCACTCTCCTACCCGGTACCTCCACCCCCGTCCCCCTTCCTTGCTGAGGCCTGAACTTGCCTTCTAGGCACTCATCACACATAGGCAGAGGCAAAAAAAAAAAACCCTTCAGGGCAGCCACAGGATTTCTTCTTTCTTGAAGAGCAGTTCTGCGAGGGAGGAAGAAAAGCACCCAGGCTCTGGGGAGTACTCCTGCCTACCAGTGAGACAATCTGCACAGCACCACCAATGTGGTGCCCCAGATCAGTTCCTCTAACAGGAAGGAAACTCTCCAAACTCTGTTTTAGCAAAGGGTGGAAACATCAGACCAGTTTAAAAAAATATTTAAAAAAAACCTGTAAAATCAAGTATACACCCACATCACCTCAAGATCATGCACGTGAGAGCATCTGCCCAAGAAAGCAAAGCATGGATTGTGCTGATGCGCTGGGGGGTGAACAGGGCTGCTAATACCTCTCCTGGATTCCACAAGGTCCTCCAGGTCCTCCTGCCTTGTTCTGATGCCCACTGCACTTTCTCAGGCACATCCTGGTGGAGGCCAGGAGAGCCACTCAGCTCCAAACCTAGCAAACTCATGGCATTAGCAGGTAGAAGACAACCATTTCATACAGACCCAGGACAGTCTGTGCATTCAGCCTGATGTGGCCTCTCTGCCAGCCTCTCCCATGAAGCAGCTACTGGTGAACCATTTTGCTGGGTAGCATCCCCCGTTCAACGTGAAGAGATATGAGAATTAGACAAAAGGGAACAAAGTACTGAGTGGGACTATAGTACCCATCCTCTCCTTCCTTTGGCTTTTACCCCGCTGTCCCATTACCAAATACCTTCTCTCTAGTACGATCCATATGCTCACCTGCTCACTGGCCTGGGATATCCACGTGTCCAGGAGCAGCTCCATCCTGCTCTGGTGAAATCTCTTGGTTGTCTTCACAGCTATGAAAATGTCCCCAAGTGTCAGGCTTCCCCCAGTCCTGTATCCCTCCGGAGGATGGACTTTGAGGTCCTTCTGCCCCATGCCACCACCTCCCTCTGGGCTCACTTTATTCCACTGCTCTGGCTTCACCAACATCCCCTCCCTGAGCCCAGGGTACCGAGCTGTTTCCTGAGCCCCACGGTGCCGCATGGAGAGGAGAGCCACACTGGCAAGGAAGACTGCAGCTCCAGAGAGACCACGGATGAGTCGACGGCCCATGGCTCCCAAATGGTTCCCAGTACGGCAATGGGAACAACAACCAGTATACTATTGAACAAGGACAAACTCTGCCTGTACCTCCACGTGAAAGTCGTCCACTCTTCTCGAAGTCTCCAATGGGGTGGGATCAGCCAAGAGCAATGTCTGAAAAGGATGTGGCCAAGGAATAAGGGGGATGAAGACCAGGAATCCAGAGAGACAGCAGACCTGGAGGATACCAGTGAAGCAGGGTGACTTTTCACAGACTACGAGGGCTCGATGACCCAGCAAGGCAGGGACACATAATGGGAAAATACTCCAAGGTGACTGGCACGTGGCTAGCACAGCCTGCCAGGAGGAAAGTGAGCATCCTCACTCCTGGCAGAGAGGCTGAGGGTCCCAGGGTAAGTGTCGAGGGGGTGGCAAAGTTGATCACAGCCATTGGTAGGACGTGTGGACCGAAGGCATCAGATCCTCAGAAGACAACAGCTGCACATCCGAGCCAGGCGCTTGGGCGGCGGCGAGCGGCAGATGCAGCACTGCAGGGACCGGGACAGGCGTCCAGCGAGCGGCAGGGCTGCCTCTCCACCTGCTTTCTCCCGCAGCTCTTGCTCCCTACCAGCCCCGGTCCCGCCTCCGGGCATGGGGCGGAGCGCCAGAGCATGGAGGGGGAAGGATGGAGAGTGGTGAGCTCTGCGTCTGACAGGGGCTTGGCTCACCAGTCTGGGACATCGCCAGTCTGGGACACCACCGAACAGCAGACGTGGGAGGACAAACCTGTTGCTTGTCTGTGACAGTCCAGCCCTGCTCAGCCATGCTCTTGAGAGAGGAGAGGATGGTGGCAGTAATGTGGGCTCTGGTGAAGTTAAGATGCAGTGTCCTATATTGTTCTTGGGAAGCAGGATTTTCCCCCAGGAATTACCTCAGCCCCAAACTTTTCCTGTGGGTACAGGTCTGAATTCCTGCCCCTGCCCTTTAATCCTGGGTTACCTCCCCAAAGCAGGACTGTGTGTTCCCTGCTGCTCCCCACACACATGCCTCAGAGTCTCAAGCTGGGGTGCGACCCCCCACTTCTGCCACCCATCTCCCCAAACCATGACCCAGACCCTCTCTGCTCTTGAAGGTGCCTTTCCCTCTGTCTCCAGTCACACAACCCCCACCCTTGGACCCATCTCACATTCCTACCAGGATACCCAAGGACATTCTGCTGCTCAGGTGGCTGCAGAACCAGTGGCATTCACATAAGCAGGTACACCAGCAACAGAAAGTGTGAGGGAGAGCCTGCCACCTCCTTTTCAACTGTAGAATCATAAAATGATTTGGGTTGGAAGGGACCTTCAGATCACCTAGTTCCAACGGCCTTGCCATGGGCAGGGACACCTTCCACTAGACCAGGTTACTCAGAGCCCCATGAAGCTTGGCCTTGAACACTTCCAGGGATGGGGCTCAGCATCACCACTGAGTTCATACCTCATCCCAGTCCCTGCCCCCTGCAACAGGGCTGAGCTCAGCAACTTGCCCTTTGTGGCTCTTGTGCTGTACAAGATGAAGCTTCCTTTTCCTCTCCCCTTGGCAAGGAAGTGTGGTGTCTTCTCTCTGTAGAACCCCAGGCACCCACAAGCACAGCAGCTAAATGGCACCTCCAGCTCCTTCACAAACACCATCCCACACCACTGGGCATGGTTGTGCGTCTCCACTGTGCCGCCTTCACCCTTAGCCCTCTGGCTGTCAGCAAGGGATAGCGATATCAGAGACCCTCAAAAGGTGTGAGAACCCCTCCCAGACAAAGATCACTGTAGAGGGGAAATTTTGGGGTCAGAACCACAGATTGCTGCATGGCATTGCTGGTTCAGTTGGCTATGGGGTAGATGACCACGCAGGTCCCTTTCATACTACCTGTGGGCTACTTTACAGAGCAGCCAAGAGGATACAGGGATACCATCAGCCCAAGAAGAGGATGACATCCACATCCCTAGCACAGCTGCCCTGTGCAGTGAGCGTGGGAACAGCAGGATAGTAGTGCTCTACATAAGCTGCCAAAATCAGAGCGCCTCCTCAGGGAGCTGCAAGCTGTGGGCATCCAATCTCAGCATGCCAAAAAAATAAAAATAAAAAGTAATAGGATGGAGGCCCAGGGGAAATGAGGGAGTGGGGGGGTGCAGAATGGCTCCATATGGAAAAGGGCCCCTCACTGTCCACATGTCAGATCACAGGACCTTAGAAAAGAGGAGCACGGCAGGGATCAGGGTCCCTCTCTTCCACACTCCCACCATGGGTCCAGAATAAGACACTTTCCAGGCAGACAGGGAAAACCTCTCTGCAGTGATAAAACTGTGTGTTCTGTTCCCCCAGGTCTCAGGCACACATTTTCACCCCAACCCTGTCCCTGGCTACAACCTTTTTCTTTTGTAAGGAAGAAATCCACTTCTCCTCCCTCCTACCCTGTATTTCTCTGATTCTCCAAGACTCCTAGCCTTCCCCTGAAGCAAGAACATCTCCAGAGCATCTCCCATATCCCTTTGGAGGGTCCCTGCAGGTTTTATTTTTAGACCTCTTTGCATAGTGATGTTTTCTTACACTGATCTGGGGCAAGGGGGGAGTTATTCACCTTCAGGCCTTACATTACTGCAGGGATGTGAACCTGCTATGACTGATCCGCTGCCTCTGTGCTCAATACTGGGATTGCTCTCATGGCTAGCCACCACTCCTGAACCAGAAATTAACCTCCCTGAGTGCTTCAGCCACATGTCAGCAGCCCCAGGCAGTTGTAAAGGCAGCTTCCATGGCTCCCAGGCATCCTGCAGTACCTCCCAGCCCTGGCCTAGGAGATCATCTGGGAGGGAAAGGTGGAACACAGGCAGAGGATCCTTAGTGATGTTCCCAAAAGACATTACAAATATGATTCCAAGCTACCTCGTGCAAAGCATGCTGCCAGGAAGCTCTGCTGGGGCATGGTCCCAACGTGAACAAGGCTGGTGACTTCCCAGGGCGATGTACATGCCACCATGTCAATCTCCTCCCTGGAGGGAGAAATATTACTCTCAGCGACTTGTTACAGGGGTTTGCACAAGGCTATTACAGCTGGTAATTGCTGCCCAGGGCTGCCAATTGCATTCTGCCTGTTACCTAACCCATGACTCATTCCTCCAAGCAGACAGCCACTCCCCCAGAGGTACAAAGAAGGTGGGCTGCAGTGTACAGGGCAGCAGGGGGTCATTTATGCTTGCCTTGGAGCCCTCTGCCCTGCTTCTCACCCGTGTCCAGAACAAGTTAATACTGGATTTTGAAAGCCTCAGGGGAGACAAGCTGGATAAAGAGAGCCTGGAAGAAGCCTGGGAGCAAGTGAGGCAGTGCCGCCTGCTGCTCGGCTAGGTGGGCAATGCCAACCTGCCTCCTTTTTTCCTTGTTTTTCCTCCCTTACTATCCGGCTGAAAACACTGATGGCCCAGGGAGGTGCTAGGGGATATATTTCTTTGGTGGGGAGCAGCAAACGCTAAGCTGGGAGCACAGCCTCCCTACACTAAATGAGGAGGCTTGATTTGAACTACCCTTAGCCTAGGCCATAGGGCTGGGGCCGGCTCCCAGTGGCAGCAGAGACAGGAGGAATTTTCAAGCCCTAAATCAAGAGCGCCTTACAGAGTTTTGCCTGGATACTCAAGCGCTACTTTTTTTACCTGCAAAGATACAATTTCTAATCTCCAAATCCATGGCAGGGTGGCTTGGGAGCTTGCTTTGGGACTTGTCTTCTCATCAACTCAACAAGAGTGCCACTTTGTTTGCCTGCAGGGCAAGCACCCTCCCAGGGGTCTTGCTGTGCTGGGATGCTCAGGCTGCATCCCCTGGAGTGGGTATCACTTGGGAGCTTTCATCTGGAGCCATGTGTACACCAGCTCCCCCTTCCCTGAGAGAGGAGTTGCATCGCTCCAGGGCAGAGCTAGGACTCTGCTCTACATTTTAGTGACTGCAAGTTAAAATCTTCATTTTCTTTCCTCCCCCCTCACTCTCGTCCTCATAAAAGACACGGACAACTGGTTTAGAGCCTGAAATAACACCCCACAGGGGACTAGTGAAGATCAGCAAGTTAATCTTTGCTCAGAGCTTCAAAAGTGTATGGGACTAGCAGGGCCCAAATCACAGGGGCAACGAGGACACGGAGAGGTCTTGACTCTGCTGCTGGTTGCCCATATTCTCTCAGTGACCCCAGAATCAGTGGGCTCAACCCTCTGCCTGGCCTCATGCTCCACAAAGCCTCCCAGAGCCACGGACTCCATTTTCCTCTTGCATGCCTCAGGAAAGACCATCTATCATCACAACCACCACCTCTCCGTGGCACGGGTATCCTGGCAGCCTTTTCCCATAGCAGGGCTGATAGTGGCAATTAGTCAGAAGTCAGGACTATGCTAGCATAGCTGAGCACTGCTGCAGCTACCCAAACCCTCCATCTCCCCTCTGCCAGAGTCTGAATACACTCTTGACCCCATGTCATGGTGAGAACCCCAACTTGCAGAGGCACTGCCCCCCCCTTTTGTTGGCAGCGTGGCTGGGCTCAGTCTCCCTGTTGTCACCCAGGAGGATGAGGTAGCTGGCTCATCACTGCATGCTAACCAGGGCATGGAGGGATGGGAAGCTCTAGGGACCTCAGCCAGACACCTCAAGTGAGCTTTTCCCTGACTAGTATTCCTAAAGTAACTTGGCCAACATCAGAGCCAGAGAGAGGCAAAGGACTGAAAAACAGAGGGTAAGTAGAAAAGAGAGAGGACTTGTTCTGTGGGACACTTAGCCTGCCCTCTCTCCATACCTCTTGCTGCCCTACAGCAGCAGAAGCATGCTCCCTCCTTCCCCTGGAGGGCTGGGCAGTTGGGTCTCACCTAAGGGAGGAGAAAAATATCCCATTATGCATAACCTGAACCTTCCCAGTAACACACGAACCCATAGTCTGCCAGCCATTCCCATTATGAATGGTATTTAATTCTCCTTTACACGTAGTTTGCCAATAAAAGGCTCCATTAATAATTTACAAG